CAGCTCTTTGGGTAAGAGGTGAGTAACACTGGCCTTCTCTGTGTTGCCCTTACTGTAAGTCTCTTCTCCTAATGCCTCAGTCTTCCAAGGGAAACAACACTTGTTTGATACCTTTGGTCCCTGCTGGCGCACAGATTAGACCATAAAGTCTAGCCTGTCTCTCAGCCATGGCTCCAGGGCTCTGCGTCTCTCCTCCCCCAACAAGCTCTTTTCATCGGCTGCATCTACGAGCTGCCTTGCATACAAAGTGAGCAGTGTTGAGTCAGTGCTTCTCTCCTGACCCCAAAGAGCTTGGAAAACCTTCAAGAACATGTTCTCTTTTAAGAAGGATGATGGGAAAAATGAGAATGGAAAGTAGGAGTGCAATTACTCATGATGACTTAAATATCTTTAGTATGTGAGGGATGTGCAGCTACCTCTTGTCTGTTTTTAAGGGGAAAATGCAAAAAAAACCCAAAATTTTTTCAGATTTTGGATTGGTTTTGTCTACTTTTGGTTCCAGGTTTTTTTGCCTTACCTAATGAATTAGATTCATAGTTTATTGAATCTAAAAATGCCTGAGGAAATCGTATTTTTTATATGTATATTTTGTGTTATGCACAGTTATCATTACTTCATGACTTGGGTCTTTAGAAGGGAATTAGGTTCATTAATCAAAAAATAAGGACCCTAATTTAGCCTTTAATAAAGGTAATCATACAAGAATGTCTGTTACATGGTCCATTAAAGTCAGGGGTAGAACGAGATATTTTCCCATATATAGTTTATCATAATAATTTTATTTTTTTCTAATAAAAAAAGTGAAAGTAAAGAACTTTTTTAAAAAGCAAAGCTAATTTCTTTAAAAATGACCATCTACTTTTTTCCCCCCATATGAGCAGTTAGCCAAAGTATTTGCATAAGCTTATCTTTTATGTATTTAATCAAATATTATTTAAATCTTCTTTCAAAGTCTGAGTGTTTTCTACTACATGCTAAAGGACAAAAGGCAGTATATTTGAACTGGTCTTTGGTTAGAGAATTGCATCTTTTGATATAAATACAAATAGTCCTGATTTGCATAACATTGCAGAAAGTGCGTCTTACAAATACGTATTTTAATCTACTTGGACAGAAAGCCTCCTGAAACCAGTATTAGGACAGTATTGAAAATAACTAAATGTATCATTCTTATCAAAATGTATGAAGAGCAGTTTGAAAAGTAATCTCCTTACTATTCTGAAATGAAAATATGCAAAATAGAAAATTATAAATTTTTTCACCAGGATGGTACAGAGATGGCAAACAGTTAATACATTACTCAGCCAAGCTCTCTCTGTTATGGCATTTCCTGTGGTATTGTGACTGTGTCTGTTAAGACTAATGGACTGCTGTTTGAGTAGTTAATAGTGGGATGGATTGCACGGCCTGTGTGTGCTGTAGATGACTAAATATGTAAGATCTTAGAGCTTGTCTCTGCCTTAAAAGTGCATAGTCACGTTATAATGCATATTCTAGATTTGAACACCAGTAACACACTCTTGTTGCATTGAAGATTTTTCTCAAAGACATTAAGGGCCGGATCTATCAAAGGTTTGCGTGTATAAAAACGTGAGCTATTTCACTGCGC